CACAAAATACTACAACACTTTCAGACTGTAAGTTTGAAACACACTTGGGTTTTTTTCTACCTCCTGTCAGCCCTGCTTTGGAGAACAGGCAGATTCAGTCAAATTCATTTCTGTAAAGCAATGCTGTTCCATATGACTGTACTGAAACCACATTAAAGGTCTCAACTGAGGGCTATCTGGATTACTAGAAAGACACTTCAACAAACATAAAATCTCAAAAAGTGTGGCAAGTACAATATGAAGCCAGATGAACCCATGAAGATTAAGAAGGAAAAATGCTGTAACAGTAGAGGAGGGAAAGAGACATCTAAGGGGAATATGGATTGAAGCATGAAAAAGACGTCAAGAGAAGAGAAACAAAACAAAAAACCTGGAGCAAATTTCTATTCTCAAAAAATAAAAGCAGCACCTCAATTTTACCTCACTTTGGGGTCTGTATCTGGGGGTATAAGGGGCACTGAGGGGCCCCAAACCCTCCAACAGGACTAAATTTATTTCACAAATTGTTTCGTCACCTAGGACAGGACCCACCACACCCTCTCTCAGCCTTCCTCTCTCTTCCAGCTTCCAGTGAAATTAAACAATCTCACACATTTTACGTTTTGCATTGATTTCTTTTTAATTTTGACAAAATGAATCAGAGCTGATGAAAATAAATTTAAAATACGATACAAGACCAGTTGGAAAAATATTTTCCAGAGATTGACAACTGACTTGGTTCACACCGCCTCCTTGGTAAGGCCTCCATGATTATAGTCTTCCCTAGCTCTTGTGGTGGAGCCAAACAAACTCCATAAAAATGAACACCGTGGTCAACAGTCTTCATTTTATCAGACTATGAGGAAACCCAAGAGTATGCATGGTTCCTCTTCCCTTAAGGAACTGAGAATTTCAAAATTCTACATACATAAGTCCCAGCTAAGATTTTAAAGGATCTCAGAGAGCTGTTTTACAGTGAGAAAATGTATATTCATGTGATAATGAAGAAAATGTGGAAGGAGGACTGGTTATTAAAAAAAAAAAAAAAAAAAAACTTCAGATACCCTAAGAATTTGTTACGTAAAATGTAGTCCATGGGAGCTTGTTCATGTAAAATCTTGGGTATTACTCCAGATCTACTGGATCAGAATTTGCATTTTAACCAGAGCTACAGTGTAGATGTGTATTCATTAAAGTTTGAGAGGTACTTACCTAAGACCCTTAGCACCCCCCCTCACACACACACCCTCTGTTCAAATGGGATACAATGTAGTTTAAAATGTTGGATGGGTAAAAAGAAATCTAACTGCCTCAAATAGTACAGAGACATGATCAACTTTCTTTTTTTTTTTCTTTTAATTAAAAAACAACAAAATAAGTTGAAGCATTTCAAGAAGTAAAACAAAATTAAACAGGTACAGGAAGAAGGAAAACGGGGGTTTCAGTTTCTGATAAGCTTGGTATGAGTCAAGAGACTGTGGTTTCAAAAAAATTGAAAAGCAAGCAAATAACAAAAGCAAGAGGCTGCATTAATAGAAGCATGGTAATCCAGATCGGGAGGATGACCGCCCTACCGTGCCTCATACTGACCGAGTCTTCTCTTAAGTATATTAATCTCAAGCCATCATAATTAAGGATAAACACAAACAAGAACGTGTTCTGGAGAGAGGGTCCAGGGTAATGAAATTGAAGTCTTGACCTGGGATGCTGGTGGGGATTGTTTTTGGAGGAACTGGAGCTGTTGAACCCAGTTACAAAAAGATCAGGTGAGGGGCGCCTGGGTGGCTCAGTGGGTGGAACGACGGACTTCGGCTCAGGTCATGATCTCAAGGCTTGTGATTTCGAACCCGCATCTGGCTCTGTCCTGACAGCTCAGAGCCGGGAGCCTGCCTCAGATTCTGTGTCCCTCTCTCGCTCTGCCCCTCCCCCACTGGTTTGCACGTGCATGCTCTCTCTCAAGAATAAATAAAGCATTAAAAAAAATTTTTTTTAAAGATTTGGTGAAAAGGTTCATAAGGGAATATAAGGGAATGTTGTGTGGAAAGCACATGTTTGGTCTGTGGACAAGCATTTGAGAACCATTGGTTAAGATATTTGAGGACCATTCAAATCCCATAAACCCATTATTTATGGCTCTCAATGACTCTTTAAAGTATCTTCTGCAAAAACCAACAAAGTAGAAGAAAAGGTGCCATTCTCCTTGAATTACAGGAAAGGAAAACATGGTTAATGATGGATCTTGGTCTAGAATGAGGTTTTCTGAGCTTTGTCCAATATGCTTTCATCACCCAGTTTCTTATGAAATTCCTACCTTGGTAATCATTACAGAAGAAAAGGCACTAAAAATGACCTCTCCAAATTATTTTTTTTCTCCTATCCTATGGTCCAGTCCAGTTGTCACTCAGTCTCATGTAGTACTGAGCACCTGAACCATAGCTAGTGGAAATGAAGAAATATAATTTTATTTTCATTTAACCTAATTGAAATAATAAATATATTTATTTATATTAAACTAATATTTGATTCAGTTATTGGAAAATTTTTAAGTATATTTGGCACATTTTAGATATATGTCTACTTTTTCAACTGCATATGTTAGAAAACTTAAACATTATTTCCAGTGACAATTAAACATCTTAATTAACACATGCTATACGTGGAAAATATGCTGCCAATATCAAATTATTTTCATGAAAAAAATGACAAATATTTCATTATTTTGTATATTAATTACATATTACAATATTTTAGATATATTGAGTTAAATAACATATATTATTAAAATTAATTTCCTATTTCTTTTTATTTTTGTGATGTGTCTGTTCAAAATGATAAATGTAGGGGTGCCTGGGTGGCTCAGTCGGTTATGTGTCCAACTTCAGCTCAGATCATGATCTCACAGTTCATGTGTTCAAGCCCCACGTGAGGCTTTGTGCTGACAGCTCAGAGCCCGGATCCTGCTTTGGATTCTATTTCTCCCTCTCTCTCTCTCTGCCCCTCCCCTGCTCATGCTCTGTCTCAAAAAACAAAAAACAAAAAACAAAAACATTTAGAAACAATTTTAAGGATGAATGTGGCTCATTTTATATTTCTATTAGACATGCCTGTTCTATATTACTCCGAAAGAGCATATTATTTTAATTTCTTTTTTTATGTTCAAAAAAGAACTCAAACCTCTCCAAGCTGAGGCTGCCTGTAGTTGACTTTTCTATCAAGCATGCCTGACTTAAGAAGGAAATACAGAGGTTCCTGGGTGGCTCAGTTGGTTAAGTGTCTGCCTTTGGCTCAGGTCATGATCTCACAGTCTGTGGGTTCAAGCCCTGCATCTGGCTCTGAGCTGTCAGCACAGAGCTGTCAGCTGGAGCCTGGAGCCTATTTTGGATTTTGTGTCTTCCTCTCTCTCTGCCCCTCCCCTGCTCACACTCTGTCTCTCTCTCTCTAAAATAAATAAACATTTTAAAAAATAATTTTAAAAAAGGGGAAAGATAAAGGGCACCTGGGTGGCTCAGTCAATTAAGCATCTGACTTTTAATCTTGGCTCAGATCATAATCCCGAGGTTCATGAGTTCGAGCCCCACACGTGTCTGGCTCTGCACTGTCAGGATGGTCTGTTTGGTATTCTCTCTCCCTCTCTCTCTGTCCCTACCCCAATCGTGTTCTCTCTCAAAATAAATAAACTTTTTAAAACTTTTTTCAAAAAGAAGGAAAGATAAAAACTGCCAAGAAGAGCAAGATCCCCTGCATCGTTCTCTCCCCACACCACTCAAGGTTTAAGCAGAGCCTCATTCTTAGAAATGCAGTTTCCCTGCTTGAAGACACTTCCAGACAATGAAATGTGACATTTCCAGAACATATTAAATACAAGAAGAAATCCCTCCTCTTTTCTGCTCTTGTTTCAGGCAAATGATTGTCCTTCAGGTGGTTGCCTTATTTTGCTGTTGCCCTATTTCCCCTTTGATGGGGCTGATGTCACAAAGACCATTACCCTGTTCCTTCTGTCCTTCTCAGGAAAAGAGGTATATACCAAACTGCATACACTCGAAAGCCTGTGTCAGGGATGAAATCACAGATAGCCTGGCCCTTCCCATCTCTCTCAAGTTAACCAAAAGCTCAAAATTTGGGTTTGTGGCTTAAGAAATGAGAGTAGAATACATCATTTCTTTTCTCTTCTCCACCTGGCTAGTTCCTGCTAATGTCAATGAAGGCTTCTCTCTTTCAGGAAACCTTCACAAATCCAACTGTTAAGTCAAAACGTACTTTTCTCTATTTCAGTCACTTCCTGTGCCTCCTCGTTTGATAGTCTTCACCACTCTTTAGGTTAAAGGTCTCCTAGAACCTGCTAAGGTGCATTCCCCCATCATTGCCTGACATTCTTAAGGTAAAGACCAACATGCAAAGGGCATCCTGACTCTTGAGTCCAACTAGTGTGTGGGCCTGGGTAGAAGCAAGGAGCTGGCCTAGAGTCTACTCAGTGCTTCCCTAACCTCAGTCATTCACATGCCACCTTCGTATTTTCTGCCACACTGAGATCTTCCAGAACTCTTTTAATATTTGTCTTTAAATCAACACAAACTTTTAATTTAAACAAACGCATTTAAAAGAAGAAGTAGGGGTGCCTGGGTGGCTCAGGCCATTAAGCATCCAACTCTCAATTTTGGATCATGTCATGATCCCAGGGTCATGGGGTTGAACCCCACATCAGGCTCCATGCTAATTGTGGGGTCTGCTTGGGATTCTCTCTCCCTCCCTCTGCCCCTCTCCCCTGCTTGTGCTCTCTCTCTCTCTCTAAAATAAAAAATAAATTTTTAATGAAGAAGAATTAAAGAAATTACAGAAACTTTATATAATTGCATCAATGGAAACGAATGTTTTTCCTAAGCATTAAAAATACATCACAATCAAGGGGCTCCTGGATGGCTCAATCAGTTCAGCTTATGACTTCGGCTCAAGTCACGATCTCGTGTTTGTGAGTTCAAGCCCCAGATCAGGCTCTGTGTCGGAAGCTCGGAGCCTGGAGCCTACTTTGAGTTCTGTCTCCTCTCTCCTGCTCACGCTCTGTCTCTAGTAAAATAAAACATTAAAAATTGTTTTAAAATATATAACAATCAAAATAAAATATTTGTCCATGTAGCATCTAAAATCCTCTCTTTTAGGGGTGACTGGGTGGCTTAGTTGGTTAAGCATCTGACTTTGGCTCAGGTTATGATCTCATAGTCCGTGAGTTAGAGCCCCATGTCAGGCTCTCTGCTGACAGCTCAGAGTCTGGAGCCTGCTTCCAATTCTGTGTCTCCCTCTCTCTCTGCCCCTCCCCTGCTCATGCTCTGTCTGTCTCTGTCTCCCAAAAATAAATAAATATTGAAAAAATAAAAATAAAAACATAAAATCTTCTCTTTCACCAACAGTGTGCCCATGAAACAGAGGAACAATGGTCTAGACTGTCAGTGGCAGACCAGATGAGAGTCCAATGTGTGGACTTGAGCCTATGAAATCTCATGGTGAACTGATCCATATGGTTTAGGACACCAGATAAGGCTTTCTTTGAAACACAGCCCACATGTAATACAGATCTTCTCTCTGGACGTAGAGCTGAGGATGATGGGGGGTGGGGGGCGGTGAGACAGGGGGTAGGGAAGCACACATATCCAGCAAAGCCCAAGAAAAGCAAAATCAATCCCTCAAACTCATCCCCTCCAACACACACACACACACACACACACACACACACACACACACACACTCCACTCCCAGCTTCCAGCAGTAGCATCTGCATGAGCAACATATTAAGAGTCTTGGGATGAACGAAGACTATAGCGGGGAGGCAAAAGAAAACAAGTATATAAAGTCTGAAGTTTACTTAGGGTGTGCGGTGTACCCCAAAGTGACCAGATGGGTCTCTCAGTTGCCTTACCCCCTCCCCAACCTCTTACATCAAAGATCGTGTCTAGTGTCTAGTGATAATTTCAAAATCCCCTTTAAACCAAGTTCTGCAGATAAAATACATTCGGCTTGGCTTTTTCTTCTAAGTCTTCTTTCTTATTTGGGACTACTGTTTTTGCCAGTATAATATAGTTGCTCTGGGGCGCGTGGGTGGCTCAGTTGGTTAAGCGTCTGACTTTGGCTCAGGTCATGATCTCAAGGCTTATGGGCTGGAGCCCCGGGTTGCGCTCTGTGCTGATAGCTCAGAGCCTAGAGCCTGCTTCAGATTCTGTGTCTCCTTCTTTCTCTGACATTCCTCTGCTCACACTGTCTCTCTCTCAAAAATGAATAAACATTAAAAATTTTTAAAAATATATATATAGTTGCTCTGTGGCAAAGCATATGAAACGAGACAAAATTCCTTCTTTTGGAAATAAGATCTTAAAATTCCAAAACCTCAAATTTTATTAAAATCCCCTAGTTGTGTTTAATGACTTTAAAGCTAGACTACAGATTAGTTTTACATACATCATCTTATTTCAGTCAACTCTCAAGTTGAAACAGAAAGAACGTTTTTTTAAAGCTAAATTAAATAAACATATTTTTTTGAATTTTTAAATATTTATTTTTGAGAGAGAGAGAGAGAGGGAGGATGGGAGAGGGGAGGGGCAGAGAGAGAGGGAGACACAGGATGCAAAGCAGGCTCCAGGCTCTGAGCTGTCAACACAGATCTCACAAACCATGAGAGCATGACCTGAGCTAGAGTTGGACAGTTTAATCGACAGAGCCACCCAGGCACCCCAAACATAAACTTTATTTAACACATCCATAGGCAGTTAAGACGATAAAGAGAGTTTCTGGTAGCTAAATGGGTAAACAACAGTTTCCTTTAAACCAAATAAAACTAAGGGGTTGCAAACAGGTTATTTTAGAGGCAAATTTCCAAGAACAGTTAACAGAAAATTACACCCATATATTCTTAGAAATCTCTCAGTTTTCTCCTCACTACAGAGTGCTATGGTAATTTTTCTCTTTGAGGTGGTATGTATTAAATACACGTGGCTTGATCTGAAAATGTTAGGGGATTTTTGCAGTTTCCCAGCTTAGATGCACAGATGCTATTAGAAATATTCAGCAGAAGAAAGTAAAGGTTTGACACACGTCCCAGATAATCTTTTTGAATAGTTAAAATATTGCCCTAAAAAATAATACTTCCTTAGAAGGAAGCAATTATTTCCTTGGTAGAAAAAAATAAATTGACAATAGTTATCTCTTTTCAACGGTAGAGTGGTTCTTTTCTAACTCTTTTGCTGGAAACATTTGACAAATACTGCTTTTATAGGACCCTTTTATAAAGTACAAAGGCAGTATTAGCCTCACAGAAATTAATAAACAGAGAAAAGAATATTTTAATAAGTGGTACAGGCCTATGAACATAAAATAATGTGTACTGTGTAAAAAAGAAAAAGAAAAGAAAAAAAAGGAGGAACACCTGGGTGGATCAGTTGGTTAAGCGTCCAACTTTAGCTCGGATCATGATCTCAAGGTTTGTGAGTTCAAGCCCCGCTTCAGGCTCTGTGCTGACAGCTCAGAACCTGGAACCTGCTGCGGATTCTCTCTCCTCCTCTCTCTGCCCCTCCCCTGCTCTTTCTCTCTCTCTCTCTCTCCCTCCCTCTCAAAAATAAACATTTAAAAAAATTTTTTTTAAAAAAAGGTATATAACCATATTAATTTTTAAGGTTAATTGTACCATATTAACATGAACTTTCATATTCATACTTTCTCTCACAAAGACTTTCATATTCACCCTTCACTATCTCTTTTTAGTTTCTATAAAATAGGGTTGCAATATTATACTTAATCTAGCTATGAAGATATAGAAGTCTAGAGAGGTTAAATAATATTCCTAGAGTTACACAGCACAGTAGTACATTAACCTGGGACAACCTGGGACTTTGATCCTCCGGCCAAATGAAATGATCAAACTGTGGTCTGTCTTCATTCTGCATGTTGACCTTACAAGTTGGGCTGTCTTGTGCTCTTGTCATTTTGCTTTTCCAGAGTCTAATAGATCACTTGAACACAGTTCAAATAAAACCCCACTAATACAATTATCTGATAACATTTATTTAGGCTCTGCTATAAATCATCACTGTGCTGGGCAATCCCTTGAGAGAGAGATCATCATTCCCATTTTACTGATGACAAAACTAAGGCTTAAAGAACTTACATCACGTGTGCAGGGTCACACAGGCCAACATGGTTAGAGAGGAGAGAGCATCTGGCTCCAGCAAGCTGCACAGTCTGCGTCTTTGCCTCTTCCCAAGACTCCGGTGAGGCTGCAGAGCTCCAGGGTCACTTTGCAGCCGACAGAGCTGTTGGTGGACAGGCTAAGAAACAGACTACAAGCTAAAAAAATTACTTTGGTGAATCACATTAATTGCTGTATTACAAAACCAAAATTATCCAAAAGAGTTCATCAAGCAAGTAAGTGCTTATAATATCATATGAAGAAAAATGTTAGTAAGTTGTTCCCGAACTTGGAGACAACCACTCTTTAAGGACCCAAAGGTATCTACAGTGACAGGTATGGCACCGATCTTCTAAAGACTTATGGTTCAAAACCAATTCTGTCTCAAGCGGAAATGTGTGTGTGTTCACTCATTTGGTTTCCAATCTGTCTGAGTTCCTCAGGACTCTGGTCTACACCCTCAGAGGCTGACTCCACAGCCTCACCTCTCCTCTTGGTGCACAGTGACAGCCTCGCCCCTCTCTCTAACCCTGTTCTTGTTTGGGATCACATGTTCCCTGGATTGGAAGGCATTGTGTAATATACTTGGGGGCTACAAACAGCATCAAGTTGCATCTGAGAATACAAAAGTATATAAGTAACACTGACTAGAAATAACTATTCTCTTTTGCAATGCCTAGCCCATAATCGGTGTCAGTAAATATTTGTGGCATTGAACCCAATAACATCAAAAATAATCCAAAAGGAAGATTAGGCCAGGATATGTAGAAATATGTAAGATCCACCATGGATAAATGAACACTGAGTGTATTTTTTCTGCAAATCATAGAAATGGAAGAGGAATTAGAGATAATTACATCCCATGAGCAACTCAGGTCCAGAGATATGCCCAAGGTCACAATGATAATTGGTGGCAAATGGGCCATGAAGTAATAATGCCACATTATCAGTCTAATATTCTTTCTACAATATTGTCACTTAGAAATGTCATTTTTTAAAAATTTTTTTACCTCTATTTTTTTGAGAGACAGAGTGAGAGTGCTAGTTGGGGAGGGGCAGAGAGAGAGGGAGACACAGAATCTGAAGGAGGCTCCAGGCTCTGAGCTGTCAGTACAGAGCTCAACATGGTGCTCGAACCCATGAACCATGAGATCATGACCTGAGCCAAAGTCATATGCTTAACCAACTGAGCCACCCAGGAACCCCAGAAATGTCATTTTAAAACTAAACTGAATCACACTCTCAAATATGTGGTTCCCACAAAACAGATCTCTAGATATGTGTATATTTAGGCCCTCACATGCAGATGCTTTTCAAAATCTGGATATTCCTAAATCTGGCCTCTGAGTCAAGAGACCTGAGTTTTAATCTCAGTTTTTAACTAACCACTTGATAGTGAGTCACTTTAGCATACTGAATATTAGGCTCCTGAACTGTAAATGAAGAAGCTAAGTATATCTATTAGGTTGCAAATGACCAAAAATGTATACATGCATATATATTTACATATATATATCATATATGATATGTGTATACATATATATCAAACTGACTTAAGCAAAAATGCAAATTGACTTACCTCTTGTAACTGAAGAATTTAGAAATGTACCTGTTTCAGGTGTGGCTTAATCCAGGGGCTTGAATAACAGCACCGGGATCTAATTTTCTCCCATCTCTCTCTTCTGTTCCTATAGATTGGCTCTGCTTTCAGGTCCTGCATGTCACAAGATGGCTGTCAGCTACTCTGGGCCTGTATGCTCCCAAATTCAAGTCCTTTGGGTGAGGCAAAATCAACAAATACACTGGACAAAATACCTTGTAGGTCACTTACATACACATTGATTTCTGGTTCCATGAGCTTCTGTTAATGTCTATCTTAGGATATAAGAATAAGTTAACTGTTTGGAGGAAACTTAGACCCCCCAAGGCCATTGCCATGACAAATAACAGGCCCTTCATCATGTGCTCCCCACTTCAGTTCTGCCCAACTGCAGTTTCCTTCCTGTACTCCACCGCCACAGGTCCCTCCATCTTTGTACAGTCTTCCCTCTGTCTTGGATGCCTTTATTCTTCCTATCTCTCCGAAAAACATTTACTCACTGCACCAAACCTTTTCCCTGAGAAATCCTCCCTGATTACAGTCCTCCCCTCAAGTGAAATTGACCACTCTATTGTACTTAAACCTCCTCACCTACCTCGACTGGCATGCATATCATATTGTATAGTGTTCACATGTTTGCATATCTTCTCCAAGGATTTTTGGCATTAGGAAGGCAGGAACCATACCCTCGTCAACTTTTTGTCCCCAGGGCCAAATGCAATGCCTGAAACATAGCAAGTATTCAACAAATACTAATGATTCAATCAAGGAATCAATGAATCAATGAAATTTAGTTCCTCCAAACTAGAACATTATTGACCCCACGTTGTCCCTAAAACATGCAATTATGCTATGAAAAGCCCACCTTTCAGGTTCTTTGAATGAACCATACCCTTGCTCAGATCCAAGCTTGTGTATACTGTCCCCAGTGTCACTTGGTCAAATTTTCTTATCCTTCAGCTCACAGTTCCTCAGGAATACCTCCCGGGACCTCTTGAATTCAATTACACCCCATGCATACTGAACCTTTCCTTCCCGTGCCCTTTTCACACCTATAGCTATTTGTTCAATGTTTGCCTTCCTTGACTGACCGTAAGGTCCATGAGGGCCAGGACCCTACTGTCTTCACAACTGCGAACAAGAAAACAGGACCGTGGAGCAGTCTGATTCCATATGGGACAAATGAAGAAAAGGAGAATGGAAACACAGATTCTGAACACTTGCCAACCCCCACTGACTCCTTTTACCTTCTTCACCTGGACCCCAACATAGAGCCTGCTTTTGGACTTGTGTTTTGTAGCTGAATATGGAACATAAAAGCCTGTTTCTTCTTAGTTAAGATGTATAAGACATCATAGGCTCCTTGCTCCATAGATCATTGTAGGCTTTCAGAAAATAATGCAATCGATACATATCATGGAACTCCTGTGGCCAGCACTGTGCCACCAGAGATGCTTTCACCCTGCCTTCTCATCTCACATCTCCACATCCTTCCTAGACACAGAGCTGCTTGTGCCTATGTTTATCCTTTTCAGTTTCTTTTTATTTATTTATTTAATTTTTTAACTTTATTTTTGAGAGAGAGACAGAGAGAGTGAGTGGGGGAGGGGCAGCGAAAGAAGGAGAGAAAGAATCTTAAGCAGGCCCCACACTGTCAGCACGGGGCCCGACGTGGGGCCCAAACTCACAAACTGTGAGATCATGACCTGAGCTGAAACCAAGGGTCAGGCGCATGAACAGCTGAGCCACCCAGGAGCCTCTTTCTCAGTTTCTTTTTAAATAGGCATTCTGTGATCACAGGAACACACTTTGGTGCTGTGTTAGGTGAGAAAGTTGATATACTTGCTTACATGACTCAACTCGGCTCATGTTTTCTCTGAAGCTTCCTTTATTCCCTCCCTCATTCTGACCACACCATTTTGGCAGCACCACTAAGTACTGAAGATGGCAATGATTAAGTCCAGTCTCCCAAATAAAAGACACAATATAGATCTGTCTGCTTCTAGTAAGAAAAATCATACTACAATCTGTCTGAATATAACAGCCTGTGCCATTCTCCAAAGAACACTCATGTTAAAATTTCCCTGGCTTGCACAAAAGAGGAGGATCATCAAAAGATTTGTTTATCCTTGGCAATTGGCTTTTCTCTTCCAGAACCTGATTCTAGAAAGGGAAACTCTAACTCCTCACCTCCCAAATCCCTATGCTTTGAGGGGGGTGCCCCATGCGGTTTGGAGTGATGTGATTAAACATAAGCACAGGATTTTGGAAATTCTCAAGAAGCCAGGAAAGCAGCATTACCAAGGCAGACAATGTAAGTTGAATAAGAATTTTAAACCCATTAATGTTTACCCAGTAAAGTTCAACTCTTCATCACCCAGGTGGTGCTGTAAAGGAAGTCAGGGGAGACTCAAATGCACAAAATCAGGACTTGGGGAGAGAAGTCAATGTGAGCAGTCTGAGAAAAGAAGGCACTGGGAGGTCATCAGCCTTCCAGGGAACCATTCAAAGCCTTGAACAAAATCAATGATGGTTCAAAGAACTTCTGTCTCTAGGCAATTCTCCGAGGCAGTTTCCACCTGAAGACCAAAAACTGCCCTTATTCCCAGAATGAAGAGGCGGGGGTATGAACCGACCCAGCAGAGAATACATCACATAATGCTTTAAGCTAAGAGAGCAAAGGGAACACATAAGCGAGTCTTTTTCTCTCAAGACAAAATCACATTTTACTAAAAATAATCGGGGCAATTCTTCATTATTTACCAAGTCTGCTGTATTGCATTGAATGGTGGAGATAGGTGCACCCCATTCCTCTAAGGCATGTGGTTTCTGCAGAAAGTCTCTATGTCCCAAGCCATGAAAGGGGAAAAAAAATCACCATCTGTAGGAAAGTGATGATAGAACAAAGCTAATGGACTTGATTGGGAATTACCCTTTTAAAAGTCTATTCCATCATGGAGGCTTCCTATCCCCGTCCAAGAATATCCAACATCTAAAAATTCAAATACAATCTCAGCTCAATTTCAAAGGGAGGTAGGAAATATTAATAAGGGAACTCTTTATTAGAATCAAAGCCACCTCTCTCCTTGAAAGATTTTAGATAGTTTAAAACTGCAATTCTCTGAGTCTAGTACCGCTTTCCTGAGGATGTCTTCTGTCAATTCATCCAGGAGAACCTGGCAGTCTTGGCTTAAGGCATGCCAATCGGCTCAGCTCTGCACATGAGCCAGGAGCTGGAGGCCTCCTTAAGTCTGAAGCAAGGAACTTGGTGGGTGGTCTAGAAGGGAGTCCGGGCTTTGTAATAGAAAGATACAGAGATGGAGCTCCTGGCCAGGAGAACTGCTGAGGGAGACAAACTCCAGGGAAAGACGCCAGTCCACATCAAGACTACATAATCACTGAAGAGAATCAGCCCAGGTGCCAGCCTAACACTATAAATAAAGAATCTTGGCTTTGTCAATGGGAAGCCCTTATTAACTGAGGGAATGTGTTACACGTACACAGATGAGCACACAGAGAAACACATCAAAGGTGTGGATAACAACAAAACTCAACATACATACAGCGATTATAGTTTTTAAAGCGCTTTTCCACAAATGACTTCATTGAATCTTCTCCACTGCAGGGATGGAAGAAAGGCAGATATTTCATGATCATTATTGCTGTGGCTGCCTTTCAGCTGTATCATGAGGCTAGAGATGAAATGTTAAGTGAAAACTATCTTGCATGTGGCCACTCATCACATCATGAGACCACCCCAGGGGTAAGAGGCCTGATCCCTCCACCCTGCACACAGGAGACAGCCCATGCTCAGATCCTTCATGACCCAAGTTCCCACACAGTGAGCCCACCCACACATGACTGGGCCAGATCCCACCTCAGACCTTCAGACATCTTTGTCACCAAATGACTCACTCCGTCTTTGGAATATCTGTGGTCAATTAATTTCAATTAAGGTTTCCATTTCTATAATCCTCCTAGGCCAAAAGAAAGCCAGTTTATCTCCCTTGTTATTAACCCCTTAACTTCTATACTCCTTCTCTCTGGCTTCTCTCTTCAAACCACTATGTCTTCTGGAATCTCCTTTCTTTATGTAAGAGAAAAAAAAAACTTATAAGCACAGTATCTCCTCACATTATGCTATGTAGTTCGCCTACCATAGAACTAAGGGTAGGGGTGACAAGCTATGCGCTCTTTTTTTTTTTAATGTTTATTTATTTCTAGGAGACAGAGAGAGAGACAGCGTGAGCAGGAGGGGTCAGAGAGAGAGGGAGTCACAGACTGAAACAGGCTCCAGGCTCTGAGCTGGCAGTCAGCACAGAGCCCGACGCGGGGCTCGAACCCACGAACCGTGAGATCATGACCTAAGTGAAAGTCGGACGCTTAACTAACTAAGCCACCCAGGCACCCCGCTATGAGCTCTTTAATCTACTTTAGAACCACCAGACTTCCACCCTGGTACCCAGGCCATCTATTATACTACCATGTACAATTCTATGTTTCTATCATCTACTGACCTTCTGGTTACATTCTTCAGGACAAGAAACTCCCCTTTCTTCCTCAACCCTACTTCTACCCACCTCTAGAAAACTTCAGTATCTTTGTAGGCAATCCACTCAACACCTTCAATCTACTGTTCCTTGACCTCAAATACACAATAACAAATCTCACTTTCACTCAACTTAGACTCTCCCACGCTGCCAGGGAAACATCCTGAACTTTGTCATCACCAAGAATGGTTCCACACCTAAAATCTTAACTGCAGACATTGTATTCTCTGACCCAGATGCCTTTCCTCCTGTGCTCTCAGGATCCTCCCTTGCATGCACCTGGTCCTCAAACTCACTGAGTCCTTCAGTTCCTGGGTCTTCATTTCCCCACTGCCTATTAGCCTTCCTCTAAACAAACTACAAACAGTTGGGTATACAAACTACTCACCACGAGTGTCCTCAAATCCATGCATGTATTTCCCTATATTGCATTTATCAAGCAAACTCCCAGCATAGGGTTAATGTCATCCTGGTACATAGAAGCTGAGCACTCCTAAAGAAAATGTTATAACCACTCAGATTACTGTTATAACAAACATATGGTCTCTGACTTTAGAACTTCAATACATCTCCTCAATCCTTTCACTTGATCAACTGTCTTTCCTACTTTCCTTGGCCATTATTTTAAACCTAGGTATCTCTATTATCTCTATTGAGCACCCCTACCAGAGCCTGCCCCCCTATTCTAAGCCAACAACATAATGTTTTTCTTCACTGAAAAAACAGGATGTCCAGAAATGTAAGAGGAAAATTGTGGTATCATAAGAGAAAACTGTTTTTTGAAGAGTCTTCTCCCCTGTCTATGAGACTATTAAATAGAAAATTTCTCAAGCCTAACCCTGGGCTCTCTTGTCTCTTCATTTCCAGAAGTACATCTCATCAACTCCTATAATTTCAATTATCTCTTTTATGCAAAGGACTTTGATGTCTCTATTATCAGTCCAGACTTCTCTCTTATGTATCATTAAAACTTCATGGGGCTCCTAGGTGGCTCAGTTGGTATAGCGTCCGACTTTGGCCCAGGTCATGATCTCATGGTTGTGAGTTTGAGCCCTGCATCAGACTCTGTGCTGACAGCTCAGTGCCTGAAGCCTGCTTCAGATTCTGTGTCTGCCTCTCTCTCTGCTCCTCCCCCTGCTTGCACTTTGCCTCTCCCTCAAAAATAAAGAA